GTGGGCGGTGCCCCTGCGCCCCGGTCCCGCGCTGGCACCCGGACCCCGCGGCCGGACAGCCCTTCCACACGCGGGACCGCCCTCGGCCTCCGCTCCGAGTCCAGAAAGGACTTCGGGGTTTTGACCCCGGTGGGAAACTGAACAGGGAGCCGTGGCCGACTCGGTGTTGAAAATCGAGGGAAGGCGAGGCTCTGCCGTGGAGGTGCAGAAAGCCCCCTCACGAACGCGGAATCCTCTGCACCCCGCGAGCACCGAGTAGGACGGTGGGCAGGCGCGGTGGAGCAGCAAGGCGACCTAGGACGTTGCCAGCCTTCTGACGGAACCGCTTCCCGCTTGGGACCGCCCTCGGCTGCTTCCAGGTCGCTTCTCACGTCGTGTGGTCCTGATGTGTGAAAGCGAGGTGTCCAGGGGCGTGCCCGGTGCCCGCGCGTTGCCCCTGGGAGACCCACCGGGAGTATTCTGAGGCTTTGATCACTCACTCGCGCGTCCGCTGGTGGACTCTGGAATTCTAACTGTGCACTGCTCGCCGAGCCAACAGCTGGGGGTTCAGAACCAAGAGACCTGCCCTACTGCTGTATGATTGAATGTTGTGTAAATACGTCTGATGTATAAATAAATAATCCAGGCGGTGCAACAGTGCTATATGACAGAACCGCTCTAATAACGAGGTGCAGAAGAGGCCTGGGGAGGAAGGTGGTACTTGAGCGGGGTTTAAGTGGGTTCGTTTTTGGTGCTGGAAATCAACCCCAAGACCTTGTGAATGCTGGGTGGGTGTTCCTATACGTGCCTAAAGATGCAGGACGAATAGTAAGTAGTTTGCTTCCTAAGGGAAATGAGAGCTTTCCAGGGGAAAGAACCTTTTTACTCTGGGGAGCTACAGATTCGGTTACAGAGATCTTCCACCCAAATACCAGATCTGAGAGGAGGTGAAAAAGAATCTTGAAATGATAGATATAACGTATCAACCGCTAGTCTGTACGCATTGTTTTTAATTGCAAATCTTGGAAACGAAAAAAACAAGTTTCAAGTTTTAGCACGTCTTTTTATTTTATGCCAACAGAGTAGACTGTAAGGGGGACGCTCCAAGCATATTTAAAAGTTTTTTCTGTTTTACTATGCAGGAGTTTGGACTGCTGTGCCCTGGGCTGCCCTCTTTGCAGGTGGCCCTGTGTTATGTAAGAGCCAAGCGAAGAGCCAGGATGTCCAAAGCCAAGGCTGGAAAGGAAGGTCAGGCCCAGCCGGGAGAAGCCTCCTGTGCCATGCTGAGCTCTTGGCCAGAGTGCTGCAGACAGCAGGGAGCCTTCTAAGTGGAGAAGTGTCATGATCAGATTTGTGTTGTAAAGATAACTGTGGGCAGTGTGAAAGGACGGGTTGGCCGGGAGGAGGAGGTGGAGGCAGCCAGCCCACTTAGGTGGGAACTGTAATCAAATCCAAATGAAATTTATTTAAGTCTAAATGCAATTCATATCACCCGTGGCGCCGCTGGGGTTTATTTTCGCTTGTATCTGGGAAGTACAATGTGGAAGCAAAGTTTGCATCCCCTAGAAATGAATTGTTGGTGGCATCTATACCTAAACCAGCATCATGCAAAAAAGCCCCAGAGACAGGGTATCCAGCGGTGCGTCCAGGGGCCACTACTCAGTCTCCTCATCTGTAAAATGAATCAGTTCTTAGCTCCTGGGAGTGGATGAGCACCTACTGATACAATTTTTTTAAATTGCCTACAGCCAGGAGTATAGTCGAGGTTTGTATTCCCGGTTCTGAGGAAGACAGACAGAAGACCACCCCGAGGAACAGACAGACCCCATCTAAAAAAAAAGTGCTTACAATCTATTGCACACATCAAGTAAATGAATGCCGGTTATCTTTATTGTGATAATCTCAATTTTAATCATCTTTAATAGAAAGAAATTTAAAATCAGATACAAAATCTTAATTACCTTAGTGTCCGATGAATAGTCAATAAAATGCGTTAAATGTTAATGCGTTGATATTAGCAAGCCAACGTTTTATTCGCGTTGAAGATCGGCCATTTACCCACTAAGGTGAGCATTTATGTGCATTCTCACAGGAGCCCTTCAAGGTGCACACCCTTGTTCTCATTTTACAGATGAGAGCCTGGAGCCTTAGAAAGTCCAGGGAAGGTCTTAAGGCCCAGCAAGGCCAGATTTCCACGTCACAGCTGCGTTCCATGTGGGAACTCTCCTCACTTCTCCATTCTGTGTTCTGTGGATTGATGATTCCTTTCAACTGAGCAGCAGGCTCACAGGGAGTAAAATGTGACCGATCAGGGTTTTTGTGGGGAGATCCCTTTTCTGATCCAGCCATCAGGGGAATTGGGAAGTCAATTATTCTTGTCATAGTTTCAGATTTTTCATGTTCTTTTTATCTTTCACATATCTCAGAGCCTACCTTATTTCACAGATACGAGACAGAGAATGTCTATGACCGGAAATCCAGGAAGCCAGGGTGACCCACGTTTGGGAGACAGCCAGCGTTGTGATTCTCACACCCGATTTCCTGTGACGGTGCTCCACCTGGTGGCAGCTCTTTCCTTAGCTAAAAAGTAGCCAACCCCCCACCCACCTCTCCCCTGCCGTACTCCCACTTTTTGGAAGCAGGTTTTAAGAAATGCACCTGATGGTAAGATTTCTTCTACGTATTAATCTAACCTGTTATTTACACTGTCCTTTGAGAACCACCTTTAATTTACCATGTGAGCGTATTTCCTGGTAGTAAGTAGAAGTATGCACTGGTATTCTGGAAAACACAAGTCATACACCTTACTGCAGCGTCAACTTGGCTCAGCGGTAATTGAAATTTTTTTGTGTGTGTGTTGTGTTTTTGAGACAGGGTCTTGCTGTGTGGTTCAGGCTGGCCTTCAGCTCTCTTTGTAGCCCAGGCTGATCTTGAACTCTCAACGATCCTCTTGCCTCAGCTTCCCACATGCTGGGATTACAGGCGTACACCACCACACCCGGCTCTGAAATTATTTTTTAAAAATTAAACATAGTTATATTAAGACATGAATGCTACATTCTCAAAGATTTTTACCTATAGTTTTGACTTCAATGAATTTCTTATCTGAGGTGGGCCGCCTTGTAACTTAAAGGACACTTTCTTCTTTGCTCATGGGATTTTTAAAAGCATAGGTAAAGCCCTGCCAATATCCTGGATTTGATTCTGGGACCCAGCCGTGGCATTGGAGCACAGACTATTCTGAGCACATACCTACTGTCGTCTTGATTCTGTGACACACACACCTCCAGCTTCTCAGATTACTTTGCAATTACAATTTCAGTGGATTGCATCTTAATATCATGCCTGAACAGTGTTTTATAAAGCCCCATATTTCCATCAGCTGTATCAGAGTCGCTTCAGGAGTGTGTTTAAAACTTAGACACAGAAGACCTACTTTACACTTTTCAACTTTAATGCACATGTAAATTACCCGGGGATCTTGATAAAGTGCGTTTCTGATTCTCCTGGAATGAGGTCTAAGATTTTGCATATCTAATAATCTCATCAACCTTGTCAAGAATGCTGCCATAAAAACCATATTTTGAGGACCAAGGGGACCAGAAGGTCCAAATGCTGGGTAGGTGAGGAGTCTCCAGCGGATTTTATGCATGAAAATCTTTGTTCAAGGCCAAGAGATATTCAAAGAATACTCTTATACATGGTTTGTTACAGTTATCCAAGTAACATTGAGGATATTGTCAAGACTTCTTCAGGTTTTTGTTTTGTTTTGTTTTGTTTTTGTCTTTTTGCAGTGCAGGCTGGCCTTGAGCTCACTTTGTAGCCCAGGCTGTTCTCAAACTCGCAACAATCCTCCTGCCTCAGCCTCCCAAGTTCTGGGATTATAGCCTGGCGCCACCACGCCTGGCCTACTTTTTCAGTTTAATGTGTCTCTAGGAAATGTGACTATTTTCTCAAAGATAAAAAGCATTTCTGTTTTAACTTCTACTTCCATACAACGAAGACAGTTACCCTGATAGTTTTGCGGTAGGGATTACATGCAAAGTGCACACGAAGTATTCAGTGCCAACTCCAGTAATACGTGCTAAACAATGTTAGTCATTGTCCTGGCATTATTGTTATTTTGCTGCAGAAACCTAAGGCCCAAATCATTCTGGCAAAATCACTGCAATCTTGGAGGACGTTATAGTCTGTCGGTCAGTGTCGTAGTTACTGTTCTCTCGTTGCTGAGACAAAATACCTGACTCCCAAAATGAAGGAAAGAAAGGTTTATTTAGTTCACTGTTTGTGGAGCTTTCAGTCCATACTCAGCTGGCTCCAAGGCAGAGTGGCACATGGCAGAGGGCAGCAGTTCATGGCGTGGAAGAACAAAAGGGAGGAGTAGCAGCAAGCAGCCTCTTTCCCTCCCTTACACTGTATGCAGGCTACCCATCCTGCTACACCCATGCAGGGTGGGGGTAGCACTCACACCCAGAATTCCAATGGAACATGAGTGTAGCACTCATACCCATAACCCCATTGTACCAGGAGTCAATCAAAAACTCTAGAAGCATGAGGCTTTGAGGGGACATCCAGGCAGAGACCGTAACAGTCAGCTCCTACTTGCCTCCTTACTGGCACTTGCAATGTTAGTTGAGAATGTCTGGTTTAATGGGTTTGTTTTATAGTGTCTTAGTTTACTGTATTTCCGCACTTTCTATATAATTTATTGTATTTCTGCACTTCAAAGCTTTTATAGAATGATTTATATAAGTCTATTCAATTCTAACCAACACACATTTATTATCTATTAGGTTCCACTATATGACATTACTCATACTTGATTTGTTTACATAAAATGACAGTGCTGTATAGTTAGTTCAATTTAATACTGTTAGCCCCAAATTCTTTGAATGTTGTGGACAAAAATGCAACAATAAAACCCACTTCAGAACACACAAATACAGGCGCTGCTGAACCCTGTGTGATTCTAGGGGAATCCCGTTCCCTTAAGGAGTGTGGCTGGCTAGGTGGCCAATCATGAAATATTAATTATTGTTTTAAAAGACACTTGGACCGTAATTTAAGAGCAGCTTGTTGAAATGGACCGTATAAATAACCATTTTCACTTTTTTTGGCAGCAGAGTAGTAAAGACAAGCTGTCAAAAGATCTTGCCAATTTCATTCGGCAGCATTTTTCCTGGCAGGGGAGACAGAACCGAACAATAGAGGTGGATTTAGCGGAAGCGCTGGATGGATCAGCGCAGGAGAAGCAGGAACAGAAGAATGACAGGGAGAAAACTGGCGTCTGAGAATAATATAAGAGAGATATTCCTAAATTTTCAACTACATCATTCAGCTCCTTTGTCTCCCAAAAACTTATCTCTGCTTTTCAAGACAAGTACATGAAGCTATGGTAAATCAGGGTTCTCAGCTTTTTAATTTTCTATGAATAAAAGCCGCTGTATATTTTTAGCCATCTGCTCAAAGTCACCTGTTTCCATTTCGCACAGATCGTTACTAAAGCAGAATCTTCTTTCCTTCAGCTCATATTGATGACTTCCACACACCCACACATCAGAGCCTTTCATCAGAGCTACTATTTTCT